TTAGTGGGACGGAGCACCTCTCCTATGAAAGAAGGCCTAATTGGGATTGTTCAGCCTGGAAAAGAGAAGGCTTTGGGGTGACCTTATTGTGGCCTTACAACATCTGAAGGGAGACTACATGGAAGACGGAGAGGACTTTTTACAAAGGCATGTAGTGACAGAACAACAGGGAATGGCTTAAACTGAAGGAGAGTAGGTTTCAATCAGATATGAGGAAAAAATTCTTTACTATGAGAGTGGTGAGGTACTGGAACAGGTTGCCCAGAAAAGTTGTGGGTGTCCCATGCCTGAAAGTGTTTAAGGCCAGGCTGGATGGGGCTTTGAGCAACCTGGTCTAGTGGAATGTGTCCCTGCCTATGGCAGATGTCTTCGAACTATATGATCTTAAGGGTCCCTTCCAATCCAGGCCATTCTATGATATTTTAACAGTGCTTTTAATAGTATTCTCACAAATTACAGTAATTATAAATTATGTATTGATTCATATTCACTGACCTCAAGACAAAACAGCTAGGGGATTTTCATTCAGTCTTTCTGTAACATATGCAGTCATGCCCTAAGATAGATTCTTCAGCTGTTCATTTTCTACAGGGAATGAAAAGCTGTCTGAGAAATCCAAGTTCTTACCAATCCTATTCACAGCTCTCCACCACTAAATGTCTCCTTCTCAAGTCTACGCATCGTGAAGGTTTAAGGGTGTAGATGACAAACTAAGCTCAGGGGTTAATGAAACATTTTTCCTCTTACTTAGGCAGCTCAAAAAGGAGACTTTGCCCATATAAGATTCAAACCATCCAAAGGAATATCTCCTCTATTGATGAAAAAGGAAGCTAGGGCAATCAGCTTGCTAAGTTAGACATGCCAGTTGAGTACCTAAAGTTAAATGAATCCAAGCAAAGCATCTTTGGGTCAGGCACTTTATGTCCAAGCCTTGAGACATCCGAGTTCCTTTACATTGTCCACAGCGGTTATGCTAATTGCATGGATATTTAAATACAGTACTCAGAATAAAATGAGTTGTAAAACAAGTTTTCAGAGAAATAGCAAACACATCCCACTAACACAATGATATTGCAATGCTGTTAAGAGGAGGAAAACCGAGGCCCAGAAACCCAAAAATCTTCATACAAATGGCTCATTTATGTACCACACATGAAGCTTTTGTAGCCTTTCATAATTGGAGCCTTATAAAGTTCCCCAGTTCCAGTACATAAAGCATTCTGGAAAAGAGATTTTGTGGCCCTTTAATAGAAACTCTGGAAGGGAAACTGGAAGATTATGAACGTATTGGAAAACCTTGCCAGTTCAGACAAAAAGACTGCTTTGCTCAGTATTCTCTCCAACAGCAGCCACAAACAGATGTTCAGGAAAGAATAAGATCAGGGAAGTACAAATAGCACTCACTTGAGTATTTCCTAGTTTCTGTTTTCAAGCCATGGGATTTTCTCCCATGGAGCACCTTTCCAAGTAGTTGTTCATGTCTCTCTGGACTTTTATAATCTTTTTGCACCTACCATCTCTTTTGATAAGGAGTTGCACAAATCTACCATCTGCTCCACTAACAGTGATCTTTTTGTGTTCTTTGTACCTGCCACCTGCTAACGACACCGGGTGACCCTCCAGTCTTGACTGGAAAAGGCAGGCAGCCCTCACACTTCAAATCATTCACAACTGAAGAGTCACAACTGTCCACATGTAAAGAGTGCTTGATTACCTTATCATTCCCCCTCGTGTGAGTTTTACTCTGACCTTTGAAGACTCCATTTTGATGTGGGTTTTTGGCTTGGTTTTCTTTTTTCCTTTTAAATTTTTAAGCTGTGTGCACTTCAAAAGAGCAACTGGTCAGGACTCCAGAGGGAAAAATTCCAGCCTTGAAGATCCTCATAAGAAAAAGCTCTATGCATACAAAGCATTTTTTGTGTATTGCAAACTGGATTAAAAATAATTATGTGATACAAATACAGAAATATTTTATATTCACCAGCCATAGGCACACAATTAAAAACCTTTCTGCATATCTTTTTAGATTAAATAAAACCCAATACTTTATCTCCCCATCATTTTAACTAGTGTTTATAATGATATTATAGTCTTGGGAAAATCTAGTTTTTTTAAAAGATCTGACACATTTTTTAGACATTAAATTCATATAAAAATTATTGGTTTGAAACCCTACACAAGCACCTTCCAGTTCAGAGTATGATGTGGGGGGAAAAAAGCACAGACCTACAAGTTAAGTAGAACTTTTAACTGCAGAAATTGGTGATTCAATTCCCAATTCACATTCATTAGCAGACTTCACATCAATCGGTAAACACATCTATTGTTCCAGGACATTCAGAAGCCAGTACAGGCCATATAACATCTAAAAAATCTTGGCCACAGCCATCTAACTGCATGTAAGCACAGTATGAAAGTCTAGTCAAAACCAGTCAGGAGTCAAAAGTGTCAGGAGAAAGCAGTTCTTGTAGAGAACACTAGCCAATTTATTACAAAATCAGATGAGAAGCACTAGTTTCAAGTGCCAAGGATCCTTGGAAATGGACCTCAATGAATAAGAAGGGAACAAATTAACATAGACCTCTCTGATATAGCAATACATCTGAGGAGCCTAAATGTCCTCAGATACTCCTACCGCAGAGTTCAAATGGACCACATAGATGACCAAGTGCTTTGCCAAGGCTTTTAAGTCCCTTTTCCAGGGAGGATCACCTGTGGTTGCAACTCTAACACCACTGACGCTAACAGCGTGACGCTCAGTAGTTAGTACAGCACCTGCATAGTAAACTGGCCAGTATTTCAACAACAGAATTATTTTGTAAACATAAATTGTGCTTTCAAACAAAATTATTGTATTTGCTTAAGTTCAGTTTCGCTAGAGTTGAACAATAGATGAAACAATTTTTTTTAAAACATCTACGTTTGAAATGGAATATTTTCTACAAAACTGATGCTGACATTAAAAAGCTTTCTGAAGTACATTCTTCATTTTTCACTCCCACTTTCACATTTGGAAGTGAAATGAAAAACTCCTAAAATGTCCCACAAAAACATTATCATTTTTCTTAAAACCTTAATAAAGTATTCCTTTGCAGAAGTGACAGCAGTGAATCAGGTGAGTGTCCTAAGCCTGACAAGCCCAGGTGCATTTTCAGTATCAACATATCTTCCTATGCACATGGTTTTTCCACTGCTGTCGCTAATGTTGTTTTGACTTTTCATTTAGAAAATTCTTTAATACTGCTGCAAAATCCCTACCATAACAGACTACAGTGTCACCATTTTTAGTCCTTCTATTCATCCATCAGACTATTTTTTCTACCCTTCCATTTTCCCGTTTAAAAAAAATAAAAATTCAGTACTCTTTCAGGTTAAAGACAACAGCACATGCTTAAATATAACAATCGGTGATTGGACGAACTGGGAACAAATATACCTGTATTCATATGCAAAAAAAATTTCACAAATATTTACATCACTGAGAGAGTTTTGAAACCTTTCTTCCTATATTTACAATAAATAAATTTAACCTTATTGTCGTACACAAAACTTTTGAAATTATTCTCTATAGTATCACTACAGAATAGCTAAAGTTTTCAAGCAGTATTTCCTATTAACAATTTCACTACAAATACTTCATGAAAAAATACAATTTTACTTGTGACTGTGCCTTCTGTTTTTTTCCAAAAAGATCTAAACTGGAACACACTCGTTTCCAATCAAATATTTTTAAAAGATAATGTCACAGCATAATGACAATGAATACAGCATGCTGAGTTTAAAGACCATATGTTGCAACTTTGAAAGATACTCTGAAGCAGATATAGTCACTACTGTCTGCTGCTAGCTGGCATCCTCAATAAACTACCTGAAGTAATGATGTTTGGATGTTTCGATGTTTTGATGGAACTAGATGATCTCTAAGGTCCCTTCCAACCCATTCTGTTTCATCTTTTATATTCATCTTTTATATTATAATCAAGTTCTTGATTATTTTTCCCTGCTAAACTTTTGGCCCCTGTAAGCCTATAACCTCCTTTACAAATCATCATTACATACCTGAAGTCATGTATGAAAGCATACACAGAAAGTTTGTGCATGCAATACCCTCATCTAACAACATCAATTACTTTATCCATCTCCTACACCATTAGCTGAAAGTCTAATAAAAGCTACTCAGCAGGCAAGAGATTTAATGAAATAAACCCCAAGTTCCTGGGAGGAACCTGTGGTTCCAACTCTAACACTTCTGATCAAATAGAAGCTCTCTTTCTGCTGCTGAGCAATAGATTTTTCTGGATCTTGATCAAACATACTCCAAAGGAGGGAGGGCGTAATAATATGGTGTAAGGTATTTAAGTGTGTAGGAGAAAAACTGATTGTGGGAAAAGGGAAGATGAGAAGAAATTATTTTTAAAATGTAATAGAAATTTCTGGGGTCACAGCAAAACAAGTTCACAGCAATTCTTTCACTAATCAACAAGACAATTAAGCTTGTCTACTAATCATCATTAATAAACCACAAAAGCCATAAAAAAACAACAAAAAAACCCAGTCTTGCACTGTTACAGGTTCCCAGTCTCCACAAATATTTTCACTTCTGTTACCCATCTAAGGCTGAGGCACCAAGATACAAATATTGCAGAACAAATATGTCCCAGTGGCTACCTAATGGAAGTAAGGACCAAAATAGACACTATCAAAAAAAAACCAAACAAAAATCCCCACCAATCCACATAATAGTGAAAGGTCTCAAGTTCTCTACCCCTTGTCTAGAAACATAAGTACTGTCTGCTTCGTGATCTTTTCAGTTCCAGGATGGAGAAGGAAAAATTTGGCTTCCATTCCTCTGCAAGGAAAAATTCCTTATTGATTCTTCTAAATTAACCCAAATATTTCTTACCTTGAAATGTAATACATTACAGTCTTAAAATTGCTTTAAAATAGCTGACTTAATCTCTCATTTCTGGACAAACTTCACATTCTGAAGAAAATCTTACCTAATTTTGGCAGGGAATAGGGCACTTTAAAATAATCTTCATAAAACTCAATGAGACTCCTTGTAATATTTAGAGCATAGTCCCCCGATCCTCTTCTGATTGCATCAGGTCTTGCATATAACCGTACCTGTTAAAAAACAAAGCAAAAGACCAATCATTTCAGCATCTGCCTTTTAAATCTACCATATCTGCAGAAATGAATTATCCTAAGGTTGCTGTGACATGGCGGGATTATTACCTTAAAGCCAAATATGACTGTCGTACATTTCTCAAAACATGTCATAGCTGAAAATCAGGACTACCACAATTAAAGTTACAAAGTTTAGAAGTCACAACCACCTAATTGCTTGTGTTGCCAAATAAAAAACTTAACACTCCTTGCATCAAAATAAATATTTGAAGAAAACATGTGTTTGCTAGAGATATGATGGGAGAGTGGATTAGTATAATGGTTCTCTGCCTACACTGAATGTAGGCAGAATGCAGTGACTCAGTAGGAGAGAACTTCATGGTTTGTTAAAGGCACATTATATCAAGCCCTGAAAATATTAGTAGACTGTGAAGAAAAGAAAATAATCATTCTCTTTTCTCTGGCAGTGACACAGTTACCCTCGATGAGCTTTGGGAAGACTGCAAAAACAACCATTTATAAGCTCATTCATGTACACAAACAATTAACATTCCTGAAACCTCCTTGACTGCTTCAGGTCTCTGTTTTCAGAAAGCAGTAAATCAAAGCTGTTTATACACGCTACAGACTGCTCTGTTCAGTATAAAACAGCTCACATATTTGACTACCTGGAGTGAACCAACTGAAAAGAACTCACCTTCATAATTCTGCATTCAAGTCTGACCCTGATTAAGAAGGTAGCAGAAAGCACTTCTTGGTTTTTCCCTCTTCCCTGTCCTTACAGACCTTAATGCTTCCTTAGTGCAAACACAACATACAGCCAAGAACTGTTAACCAAGAAAGGGACAGAAAGGACAGCCACTTTTCACTCTCCCTCCTCATTCACCTGATGAAAGTAGTGTGTGCTTTGTCTCTAATAACTGGCAGAAGGTCTCTCCCTGCAGTACATAACGACTTGACACAAATGAGACTCTACTAAATGTCAGTCCTAATACTTTCTGTGGTAGGATTAAATCCCAGTCAGGGTTCTGAGGAAAGCAGTAGGGCAAAAATCAGAAAATAGCAATGCAAACATGAGGGAGAAATGTCAGCTTTGGAATGTTTCTAAACACTATTATGGACCAAGAAAAGCCAATGCAATTTTTTGCTTCAGTGAAAGCATTACCAAGTATTGCTTTACTACTGAAAGTAACCAGTTCAGTTATCCAAGTGGAAACCAGATATCAAATACTGTACCTATCAATTCTGTTGTAACCCGCTATCTCTCTGTTCTCAGTATGCAGACACATTATTTGCTTCATTACAGTGTCCATCTTTAATCTTTGTGTTGTATTAGACTCAGTGCACCATCAACCATACATAGTTATCACTTGTAATGTAAAACAGGTAACGATGTAACCTAATGAGATATGTAATAAAGCAGACTTCCTATAATCACCACCTGAAAGCATATAAACCATTATCTGAATCCCTCCAAATCACTATTTTTGTTCATTGCTTCCTTTCAAAGTTAACAGTAGCATGTACATTAAATGTTCCCTTATCTGCTAAATTAAATATATTTTTTAACAAAATAGATATTAACCACAGAGATGCTAATCCAAATGTCTCAAAACCTTTAGTTTGTTGAAGGATGTTAAGAATCACAATTAGATTTGTGATGAACACTGTTTTGTATCATTAAACCTTTATACATAATTTTGCATAATTGCTTTACTGGCACAGCTGACTGTACCAGTAAACTAGGAAAAAAAAAGAGTCAGCCAACCAAGTATGCAAAAAATCATTCAATTTGACAGTGGTCAAATGTGTCCATAATAATAAATATGACAACTGAAGAGAAGAAAATAATAGGTAGATACAAGAAAAATCAAGGTTCAATTTATTGCATTACAATGTGTGTCTTTTGGCAAATGCAGAAAAGGTATTTAATAGTGTCTGAGATAGAGCCAAGGTACCAAAGCTTAAAAACCACAATGCTGCAAACTTTCATTTGTCTCCTGCCTAACACTAAATACAGTTTTATTTTGCCCGTAAAGTTTCCCTCTGTCTCTCTGCCTGCCCAGAACAGCTCTGGACTGCCAGGGCCCCATGGCTCACACCAAGGTCACCCCCAAACTGGAATACACTTCAGAAATTACCTGTGCCTTTGTCCAGGTCTCTCAGGGATTTTGAGGCAACAGGTATTGCCAAAGCAGCCAGATATCTTCAAATGTTGGGTCTGCTTCTGCTTTTCACCCTACAACCACTGAACATGAAACATATGGAGGAACCTTAGACGCACCATCACAGGCCTGTCCCTGGCCTCAGAAAATTCCCTGTTGGTTAGCAGAGGGCAGGGACAGAGGGCTACTACAGGGGACAATCTGGACACTCTGCCTGCCCAGTTAGCTGTTTTGGATGACACTTTCTGAGGTATCATTCACAACACAAGGAGCTTGGTCCAGAGTCTAAAGTCTGGCACCTATAAGCTCGAAATTGAAGTCCACTAACTTTCACACACTGATGTCTTTTAATGTGTATGGGCTTACTTTGACCATAAGATATCTTACTGCCAAATCCATCAAATAGGGACTATATTATTTCCTTAGCTTATAAGATTCTGAGTGTAAAGTAATAAAGACTGTAAAGTCTTCATATACTGCTCCAAAGAGGAGCTTAAGTAAATAAAACAGAATGAAGATTAAGATATGAGATTTGTTTAGAATAAATTGCTTGCTGGTTTAGTATTTTCATTTCAAAAGGCAGGTAGGTTGTGTTGCTTTAAAACTATGTTGGACTGAACAATAATGCCTAATTATTATATACTTTCCCACAGGCTGATTGATCACTATACTAAGAATTCTATTTTGCAATAATTTAAATAAGAGAAAAAACAAAATCTTCTGCAGGGTCAGGCCTAAATATAATAAATAAAAGCACTGCATGTTCTCCTACAAAAGATAAATAGCTTTCTTGCTTAGGTGCACAATTCATCACTCACTGCAATGGCACCTACTACCCTGCAAATATCAGTGATGCTCTTTTTCATAATCTTTGCAAGATTAGGTTAGACTATAATTTTCACATAAGAAAGTAAACAAAGAGAGACTAATACTAATTCTGGGTGCCATTCTGGACACCTCTCAATGTCAAGTATATTTAACAGTTTTGTTCCACATACTTAAAGCACTGTTCCAATTATATCTTACTGCAGTGGTGAACACTTTATACAGCTTTGAGTCTGGCCACAAGTGCCATAGTTTGGGCATTAAGAAAATCAGTAACACATGATTAATGACTAAATGAGACTGTGTCAGTTTATGTGATTTACTTGGCATCCCATAGCAACTGAGGTGGCAGTGGCAGAGAGGCAGAGAGGGAATTCAAAACAGGCATTCAGCCTCACTGCCACCTTACAACCTGCACCATGCACCCTCCATATTTGGGAATTAATAAGGTAGGGACTCTTCAGACAACACACATATTCACACCATACTGGTGGTATTCTGATGCAGCATAGTTCCCTGTGTGCCTCAATGACAAAAATATCAGAAAAATATTATGAGGAATCATTTTCATAATGACACTGTCACAAAACCTAAGAACATAACTAAGGTCACACAATTAACCTAAATTCTGGAGGTTTTTCTTAGCTCCTTTATACCTACATTTGCAACCACTACCAATTTCTCAACAGAAGTTCTGATTAATAAGAAAAAGAAATACAGGTTCTTTTGTTTCTCTCTCAAATGGAACCAGGCTGACCATCTTCTTCCGACCACAAATTTGAGCAAGTAGGTTTGTACCTTCAGCCCTACAACCCAGACCTCCCTGTTATAAGACACAGCTGTTAATAACTCTAGAAGTTACTAGAGATCCCAAATGAAATCGCTGCAATGTATATTTTCTCATTCTTTTCTGAAGTGGGCAAAAATATGAGTTGTTTCCTCTTGTTTGCCTTCCAGAAGCCCTCAAGCAGTTTCACAAGAACTTTAAATAAAGACAATACTCAACCACACTCAGATAATATCTCGAAAAAAATCATCCTGAAAGATTACTTCAAAAATATTAGCAACCTAATTCAAGTTCTTGGAATTATTTTGGCACCATTATCAGAAAAAATACTAAAACATTCCTGAAATTTATATGCTAAATTTCACATATTTTATAAGTGATCAATAGCCTACTTCTCTATAGTTAGTCAAAAGTATTTGCTGTACTTTTACAAACAATTTGTACATTTTGCCACATTTTCTGTAGTCTTTTTTAATATTTCAGCATTTGTTACGTAAGTCAAAGAAATTTTAAAAATATTTGTAACACTAGGTTGCCAGAAGAGATGAACGTGATTGTAAAATGAAAACTGTTTCCCGAAGTGAGGGACAGTAGCGATATATGCTAAGAAATGTGCAACACATGTAAAACCTAACTGAAGTCAGGTTAATAACTACAGTGCATGAGAAAAACCTTCCTGTCTACAGCAGGTAAAAATTATCCATCAAAAAGAAAGTTAGCACTTAAAAAGAAAAGTGCTTTCCTCGTCTTATTACTTCAGAATGCTTCAAAAAAAATATGAATTAGTAACTATATACAAGATATAATGGGCAAAATTCTGACAAGTACAATTGTAGATAGCAACAAACATCTTTATTTCCGGAGAATAGTATATTCACTAAAAATGTTTCTACTGTACCAAAGACTAGTGATAATTTCAGCACATAATAAACAGAGGAATGGGTTCAAAAGAAGTAAAACTCTTCTGTTTTGACATGTTAAAATCACTACTTTTTTCTTTACCTTTTTTTTGGCATTAAAATTTAAGTGTGTGAAAAAGAGTATAGAATGAAAGGGATGAAGAATGGTGTATTGGGTTGACCTTGCCTGGATGCCAGGGCCACCAACCCACCGTATCACTCTTCTTCCCAGTCGGACAGGGGAGAGAGAACAAGATGGAAAATGACTCATAGGTTGAGATAAGGCAGTTTACTAAAGCAAAAGTGAAAGTTTTGTGCACG